CACACACACACACACACACTTAATATATATATACTTTATATATATATATGTTAAAATATGCATATACTTGAGACAGGGTCTTGCTCTGTTGCTCAGCCTGGAGTGCAGTGGGGCGATCTTGGCTCACTGTAATATCCACCTCTTAGACTCAAGTGATTCTCATACCTCAGCCTTCCAAGTAGCTGGGACTATGGGTGAGCACCACTATGCCTGGCTAATTTTTCTGTTTTTAGTACAGGTGGGGTTTCACCATGTTGGCCAGGCTGTTCTCGAACTCCTGGTCTCAAGTGATCTCCCCTGCTTTCCCCAGACCCCAGCCTCAGCCTCCCAAAGTGCTGGGTTTACAGGCATGGGCCAGGGTACTTGGTTGCCATTAAGATATTTTAAAAGGGAAAGTGACATCATTCAGTTCTCATTATCTTAGATGATTAAAGGGTGTGCTTAGAGTGAACAGATTTGAGTTCAGGAGAGTGATTAAGAGATTTTTGGTAGTTTCTGTCTAAAGTGGAATAGACAACAAGCTCAGTTTCAATGCTCCAAAAATTGTGTTTTTAGCACATAAGACATGCTCAATCTGCTCTCATGAATGCCCCCAGGATGCCAGGGAAGGAAAAACTGATGGCGGTTGGTACATTTGGAGCAACACACTGTTACTGAACAATCCCAGATGTGGATTTTTCCAGATAAAAAACTGTTCGGGACAGGAAACAAGACAGTTGGGTTTCACACCAGGTCTCTAAGACAATAATTAGGTGATCTTGTACAAACCATCTGACTTCTTGGGATCTCAGCATACACATTTGTAAAAAAGGGATGAAGATCAGACAATGCCTCTTCCAACCTTTTTTGTTTTTTTGTAGAGATGGGATCTGACTCTGTTTCCTAAGCTGGAATGCAGTGGTGCAATCCTAGCTCACTGCAGCCTCCTTCTCCTGGGCTCAAGGAATCCTCCCGTCTCAGCCTCCCAAATAAATGGGACTTAACAGGTACTCACCATTGTGCCTGTACTTTTTATTTGTTTAGTAGAGATGAAGTCTTGCCATCTGGCCCAGGCTGCTCTTGAACTCCATGGTCACAAGCAGCTCTCCCAGTTTTAAATTTTGTGACTTAGTAAACGGTCTTGGACCATCTTTATTACCAAGTAAAATTCACATTTTAAAATGTTTATAGTTTCCTGAAGTTACTTTTTTTTTTTTTTTTTTTTTTTTGAGACGGAGTTTCGCTCTTGTTACCCAGGCTGGAGTGCAATGGCGCGATCGGCTCACTGCAACCTCCGCCTCCTGGGTTCAAGCAGTTCTTCTGCCTCAGCCTCCTGAGTAGCTGGGACTACATGTGTGTGCCACCATGCCCAGCTAATTTTTTTGTGTTTTTAGTAGAGATAGGATTTCACCACGTTGACCGGGATGGTCTCCATCTTTTGACCTAGTGATCCACCCGCCTCGGCCTCCCAAAGTGCTGTGATTATAGGCGTGAGCCACTGCACCCAGCCCTGAAGTTATATTTCTACATACACTGGCATCAATGCGCTTGACGGAAACAAAAACAGGTAAATACCTCCACTTTGCCAGAACCATCATCCACCATATTGTGCTGGGCTGCCATCTGCGGAGAATTGTGTAATTTTGAGGCATCAAATGGAATTTGTTTTATACAAGCCACTTTCTCTGTGACATATACTTTCCCGAAGCCATCACTCTGATCTTTATCTCTCCAGTCCTTAAAGAACTGTTTAAAGATTGGTGTTTCACCCCCTTCTGGAAGAACTTGAATCTGCAATTTAATAATAATAATAGACAGGAAAATAAGAAATGGAGGGAAAATATGAATCTGGCAGTGGAGACAAAACTAAGGAAATTAAACAGTTATCCTCTCTTAGCTATCAAGCTCATATAAACCAAAATTGCTTTTTCTCACAGCTAAAGTAATTGCCACTGAATTTGAATATTTGAGAGAAGAATCAAGTTCTTTAATATATTAGCTCTGCAGTAAAATAAGTTTTTCTTTTAACATTAGGTTCACAAGAGATCTGTGACCTGGAAGAAAGTATTGTCTCATTGTGTTACTTGTGCAGGGACATAAAAACGAGGAGAGTAGATGAAGCTGAGAGATTCGGAAAGGAAAGGAGTAATTAGCCAGGGTCTAAATTGATTTTGATGAAGACAAATATCATCTGCATGTCAGGCCAAGTCTGCACAACTTGCTCTAAGGAATAATAACTCATAAGTGCTCTTAGCTAAGTCTACTGTGGTTTACTATATTGAATTAAAAGCTGTGGAGGAAGTCAATGGGCAGCCCTATGGAAAGTCTGATGCGCAGTTTCTAAAAAAAGTCTAACCTCTACACAGATAAAGTGGGACATGTGACACCAGATTGCAGCAGACAGGCAGGTGGAGAATCACTTCACATGCAGACATTACTTTGACCCAAACTCTTTCATGAGGTTCATGGAGATGTCATGAGCTCCCATGTTTTCTATATTTTTCTAGCCAGTTCATTTTCACACATACTTGGGTATTGCTGGAATAATTCATTTGCTGTAGAAATTCTTCAGCTGTCTTCATTGCAGCCTTCCTCTCCTTGGGATTGGCATCTTTACCTAAAATACAAGGTAAATTAAAGAGAAAGAACTTCAGAGAAGGAAGACATTCTATGAGAAATGCTTGTGTATCGTAATAAATGAAGTTATAATTTAATTTAAATACAATAGTGAAAGAATAGCAGAATTTTCCTGGTATCTTAAACATATTTAACAATAGGGGAAGAAATGTTATTTGTAAAACAATTTTTTTTATATTGCCCAAATGCTTTCTTTTTTTTTTTTAACTTCATAATCCCTAGTACACAATGTTGGTAGGAGGAAAATGGCTGCATTTTATGTGAAAAATTTACAGATCAAGTCTTAATTAAAAGGTAGGTCTTTTTAAAAAATCAAAAAAATACATTTTATTTACCCTTATAGAGGAAATATCTATAAATGTGAAATATAGCATTGTCAATGGAATTTTTTACCTTTCCATACGAAAATTTGTTTTGCCGCCCCATTGTCCAAAATAAAGCATTCTTCTGAAAGCAGCATTGCCATTGAGAAGGGGTTTTCTTTTGCCACCACAGTCACTTTCATGGAACCACTTGCATCTGAAACCTAATATAAAAACCATGAGTTCCATGTTTTCATTTGGGGATGATAAGGATGTTCTATAATTAGATTATGGTGATGATTGTACAACTCAGTAAATATAATAAAATAAAAAGCATTGAATTTTACACTTTCAATGTATGAATTTTGTGGTATATAAATTATATCTCAATAAGGCTTTTTTAAAGAAAATAGAAATAATCCACTTTTAAAAAATGGAGTATAAAAATTATACTCCATTTTTTAAAAGTCCTTTGGGGTAATGGAACTATAAATAAAAAGTTAAGTGTTGACACTGTACCTAAAAAAGCAGAAAAGAGTAGTGATAATAATAATGGCTGAGGTCTATTCAGATGCCCTTAGGTAATAAGCACCATGTAATTAACTTTACATGATTATTTCTTGTGCATTTTAAAGCAATCTTTTGAAGCAGGTAATAATCTTACAATCATTATATACACACAAGAAGATGAAGTTTAAACATTCATTCAGACAACATTTACTGTCTACTATATGCCAGGCACTTTGCTAAAGAAGGTATTGGTACAGTTTATGCATAAAGATTTTTTTCAACATAGGTCCTGAAATTTCAGTACCCTTTGTATAAATTATCAAAGTAAATTTCTTCTGTCACATTTGGAAATGACTACAGAATATTAAAACAAAATTTTAAGTGGTCTTACAAAATTGAAAATGATATTAATGTGCAGGTTAGAATTTACTGGTTTCAAAGGCCAGCTTGGAGATTATAGTTTAGTTACCTATTATACAGATTCCAGAGCCCTCCCTTGATCAGTGGTGGAGTTTTGCAGGACCAGGGTGGAGTCTAAATTCTGTAGTTTTAGAAAGTGCCCCAGGTGATTCTGCTTCCAAGCCTTGTTAAGAAACCCAAATTATTTTCAAATGAACTTTACACTTTATATCCATGTAATGCAGCGTAGTTCCACTAGAGGAAGCTAGGCTTCAGGATGAATATTTTCCCATACTTATTTAGTTCATAATGCTGTCCAAGAGGGAGGACAGTTTTGATCAATGATGTGAAATAAAAGATATCTGTTGGGCTATTGAAAATGAGTTTTAGAAATAGAATTTTTAAAAGCAGTCACAAAATATTTAGATAACACTTTCTGTATGGCTCATATTAAAATTATCAATATTTAGCAGAAATGGTAACCATATTTCCTTTTACATCTAGGAAGAAAAAAATCCACTTTATTATGAAAAGGAAGTTACACTGCACAAGTTATTAATTTGGTCTTCATGTAAAATCACAGAGTTTCCAAGCCAAAAATCCCTTAAAGAGCAGCAAATATAGTTTCTTCCTGTTATAGATGAGAAAATGACTAAATTCTGCATGGATATTTACAATCTGCTCCAAATCACATGCTTAGAAAGTTGCAAGGGGAGGGAACACTTGAATACCATTGTAACAGTCTCCTTAAGTGGAGTTTCTTGCAGCTTTTGTTACCATCAACAGAAAAAACAAACATAAAATAAACAACTATATAGTTGGAAGGAAACTACTTTCTTTTGTGTGTGTGTAGATAAGAATACTGAGACCCAGAATGGGTATGTCCTGTGCAAAGTCATGCTGCTAATCGTGTGCCATAGAGCTGATACGGAAGTAGGTAAGTCAATGCCCAGAACAGAACTGTTTTCACCCTGTTTTCCTCCAGCTGTTTCATTTGGTAGCTCAGTCCTCCTATAACAAAGATTCCTTCATTATGGCTAAAGACAATGTTTTAAATAGCGTGAAGACTTTATATTCTTATCAAGAATTTATAAGAAAAAGCTTATAAAATATTTTTACTCCATAAAGGAAACACTGTATTGAGTACTATATATCAAACAAAACATTGTTGCAAACTAGTACAACAATATAGAATTTTATGTAAGTCACAGCAATAAGTTCACATATTTGTTTTTTTAATAAAAATAACAAAGTATTAAAACAATTTAAAACATTTACAAGAGCAAAAAACTGATTCTATCTACATGTTTCTCTTGGAGGACAATGAGGAGAGTTCTTAATTGCAGCAAAGGGAATATCTTCCAATACAGGCCTCCCTAGCTACATCCAGTCCTGTAGAAACAATAAAATTTGGTTACAGTGAACTCACCATGTATAGTTTAGCCATTTTCCTGTTACTTATGTCTGCTACAGTGTCATCATCATCGTCTCCATCTGGAAGCTCTGGTTTTTTTCCTAAGACCTGGAAAAAGTAAACAGTGGATGCACAGATAAAGACCGCCCATTAAAGGATGCAGAGTTAGAAAAATAGTAAACCATCTTATATTTATAAAGACATGGATTATAAAATATTTGCGATTAAAATGACCAGGCTCAAACACTTCTTATTAATTCATAGAAGGTAGTCCTTTTCACATGGGTCAAATCAATCAATTGCATTAAGTAAACGAGCACTGAGTTTGCTGGTGATATGAATTTCCAAGAAAGAAAAATCCTAAATTTGAAAGACTTGGCGTCCATATTACTGAAAACTAGAAGGAATTAATTAAAATTTGAGCTCTATCTTCAGCTCTGCAGCAGAATGTCTTCTATGACCTGTGCTTCTAGAAATAATCTCTTTTATTAGTTTATTATAATAAATATTTGGATGAAAATTACTATTTGGGGGTAAAATGCTATTATAATTATTGACATATAGAATAAAGTGCAAGCTGTTGATCACCCAATCATGTTTTGTTTTCTGCTGTATCCTTGGCACTTGGAACAGTACTTAGGAGACAGTATATGCTCAGTAAGTATTTGTCAAATTAATGAATAAATGTAGTTATCTAGTCTGTGCATATGTGATGCAACCCAGAAGTCCAGGTAAAGTGTTTGGTAGAACATACATTTGAATCTGCTTTGAATTTATTTATTAATATAAAAAATATGTCTATGAGTACCTTAATTAATTAATTAACACAAACACCATAGAATGTTAAGGAAAGGAATCAAATAGAAACTTATTCTAAATAATTTAATTTTATGATATAGATATAAATTCAAGTTTAGAAAATGCAAAGGTGTTCATTTAGATACAACAAGTATTTAACACACTGTGAGTTCCTTGCATAATGTGTTTTATATTCATTATTCTTTACAATATATTGCATAAAAATATGTAGTGCAAAATACCAGAAAACAATAAAAATGTGCATAGGTCTAATGCTTATGTCCCCTGAGAACATGCCCATCTTTGTATTTATACTGTGATTAATAAAATGTTTTAATTATTGTACATGCTAAATTGTTGTAATATAGTTTTTCTTTTTTGCTAAAAGGATCAATCAAAAAAACTAAAATGCTTGTGATGAAAAGCTTTTTTTTAAGAAAAAACATTTTTGCTAGAAGTATGTATAGCATGTAAGAGCCATCAAAGATCTTCTCACAAATACTTTTCTAATGCTACTCCAACAAAGGCAGTAGTTTAGAATAAACAGTTTGTGTTAAGGGCATATCTAATACTAGGAAACCTCCTAGTGGGTGGAACCAGTCCAGGATTTGAGGCACAGTCTAATTTTTAATTTTCAGACCGCAGTTCAGACCTCCCTTTTAGCCAGGCATCTTAATTAGCTTCTCAAAAGACTGCAGCGTAGTTGGGAATTGAACCCAGGGGATTTTGCAAAAACAGGCTTAATTCCAGGGGTAGAGAGATGCTGTATATTGTCAGGTATCCTCTCTAAGGATCACTTTTAAAATTGAGTTCAACTAAGAATTTATCAAATATTTGAAGTCACCAGGGTATATAAATGAGTATCTAACTACATTGTCCAGCACTTAAGGACACATCTGGCGTAGAAAGAGCAACATAATTAAATATGTTCACTTTATCAGCATACATTTTGATCTTTGATATAAACTGTAAATACAGCTTGGAGGATCATGCCTGAATGTAAAGCATTTTCATTTTTAGTTGCTCACATGATTGGCATTTAGCTCATGTAATCCTTTGTATGTGAAATAACATATATTTTGAGAATTCAACAGGGTAAAAGCACAGAGAAGCCTTGTTTGAGGATGTTACATAAAAATTTTGTCTATTGTTCTAGCCAATATTTATCTTTCAAGTTTGGAATGCCTCTTTCTTTCCATCATTTTCTGTAAGTTTCTATGTAAAAGTATTGCCATCATCTAAATACTCCAGACCAAACTTAATTTCTACAAAACTAACCACTCTTAATTCTCCATTTGTGTTAATGTATCTCTATTGGCTCCTCTTTATATGGACTTAAAATCGTGCGGTCAGTTTTAAATACTTCCTCTCCTCCACTTTGAGTCTCCTACCCACTTAGTCATTATTATTATTTTTAATGATAATGGTTAGTCACTGATTCCTGTCTATTCCTTTATTCAGACCCTAGTGAAGGCCCTCATCCTTCTTGTTATGGGTAATAGCTCCTGCCAATTCCACTTCCTTCAGTGTCACCTCATCTTTTCATCCTAAAAGTTATCCTGGACACTGGCTGCAAGGCCCCTCATTTCACATTACTTCTGTGTTGTAGGAATATGACTGTAGATCAAGGAAATCTTGTCATTTGCAACAACATGCATGACCCTATTATATATTACCCTAAGTGAAATAAAGCCAGACACAGAAAGATAAACAATGCACAATCTCATTAATATTTGGAATACAAAATAGTCTAATTCACAGAAATAGAGTGGTAGAATGGTGATTGTCAGGAGCTGAAAAATAGAGGAAGTGGGGTAATGTTGGTGAAAGAACTCAAACTTTTAGGTATAAGATAAATAAGTTTTGGAGACAATGTACAGTATGACGGTTATAGTTATTAATAATGTATTTTATATTTGAAATTTACTGAGAGAGAAGATACTAAAATACTTTCATCATAAAATGTGAGGTGACAGATGTTAATTATCTTGATTGTGGTAATTATTTCACAACTTCAACATCTATCAAAAGAACACAATATCACAAACTTTGTCAATCATACTTTTATAAAGCTGGAAAACATTTTAAAATTTCATTTTAAATTACTAAAAAATAAAAAAGATTTATATTTAACATCTGCTACAGTGGTTCTTAAACTTCAATGTACTCAAGGAACACCTGTGTAACTTTGTAAAATACAAATTCTCAACTACCAACCATAAACAGGCTGGCAGTTGAGAATACTGGCAATATTAACAGAGACAATAAACAGGTCTATGGTGAGGGCCAGGAACCTGCAATCTAGATTATTCTGAATTGGGTGATCCCACTAACCCAAAACTTCTGTCTGAATCCCAAGTCCCCTTCAGATGCTGAATGTCATCTACCCTGCCTATTTCTCAGCATTCCCTACTTTGTACCCTCCTCTAATCAAGCTGACATCCTCAGTGTTCCCTGTGGAAACTATGCCCAGTCTTCCCCCTGGGCTTTACCTGAGGCTGCATGTAATTTCTGCCTACGTGGACTGCGTGTGGTAGAAGCAAAACTGAATTATTCTTCTTTAGTTGATTCAGTTACTTATGATTAATACAGTAATAGTGCTTGTTGATTGTCTACCATGTCATGGTAGTCTACCATGACATGGTAGACATATAAGGTTGAAGTGATATGTTTGTTTAGTAACATAAAATGGAATTGTTTTGCAACGTAAGGCACTACTCCCAAACATTAAAGAGGTTGGAAATTTGTGCAACAGAATTTTGTTCTCTGCTTAAATAGACATTCTTTTCTGCTACTCACTCTTTACCTTCAATGAGCTGTTTCAATTCAAAATAAGTCAGAAGAAATTTATATTAAATAATTGCAACAAATAAACAATTCTAGCTTAAGATTAATAGTCTCCTAGCTTCAGAATTTCTAGGTTCTCAAGACCTGTCTCAAGATCACCCTTGTTTGTTTATTTATTTCTGTAGTATGATCCAAGGTGAACTTTTCTTTTAAAACTTTAGAAAGGCCTATGTGGAAATTAGTTCTTTTAGAGAGAAGGACCAGACAGCTAAGAAATAATTGCTATACTTTTTTACTCTCTTAATCCTTAGTTTTTCACAGCATTTACATCTGTTTTTATTTAATTATTCATTTTACCTTTTAGCCAACTCTACCCACTTTGGATAAACAATTCCAACGTTTACACTGGCTTGTTCTCAAGATGTGGTTTCTATTCTTTATACAAAAATGTCAAAATGTTTGGCCACTTTAGAATATTTATAATGCATCATAAGAAAACAATAATGATCCATGACCTTGAAGGACAATACATAACTTGAAACCACATATCACTGGATGAAAATGTGCCAAGTTGGTGCCAAGTCCTAAAGACGTTTAGCATTGAGGGTCTTATGTTCTCCCAGCAAACTCTGAGAGATAGGCAGGACCTGTATCATGAGTACTTTAACCTGATAGATGAAAAAAATGAGACTAAAGGAAGTTAGGAGTTTTGCCTTAGATCCGTGTGTCATAAATATTAAAGCAAATATGTAAACCTCATGCCTTCTAACCTCTACTTCAAAGCTCTTTGTATAGAAATGAGGCACCTCATTTTTCTCACCTTAATCATTGTAGGGTAAATGGCTCTGCTTTTATTTTCATAAAAAACAGAATCATCTCACAGGTTCCAAGAATGAACTTTTTAATTACTCAGTAAATTCTGTATCTTACTTCCTTTCCTTAACTGAAAAGCAATCAGTAGACTGCAACATATGGAGTATAGAAATAAATTGTAAGAGTGAAGCAAATCCTGGTTGTTATGGTATATTTACATAAAATGCCTTAGGCAAGACAAATATTTGATAATAGGGAAGATCCACAGAGATATAAAATGACTGGTGATTCTGAGGAAAGCTGTGGTCTTATTTAGCCAGCTCCACCCTAGATATGAGATTCCAACATTTACTCTATTGTTCTCTCTGTGATGGGCTTCCCTGCCTCAAAAATACCTCCACCCCTTTATTCATAAATAAAATCGAGGGTGATTAAAGAGTGGGTGAAGGTATTTTAAAGGAGAGAAAGCATGTGATACACATATTTGGATGAAAAGACAAAGTGAATTGGGCCCTCTGCAAAAGGCTTAACTCTACTGCAGTTCTGTCCTGTAGAAATTTCTGCAATGAAATATTCCGTATCTGTGCTGTCCAATGCAGTTCTCACTAGCCATTTGTAGCTACTGAGTATCTGAAATGTGGCTAGTGTGACCGAGTAACTGAATTTTTGTGTTTAATTTTCATAAATTTAAATGTAAACTTAGTCACTCA